AGACCCACAGCAGAGTGCTGGGACTCAGCCCTTCCGCGTCCTCCGCTTTGCAGTCCTGTGAGCCCAGGCTGTTGCTGCCTGTCCCCTCCATTCTAGCTGTTCTAGGCAGGTGTCAGGCCAGGGGGCTGGGGATACCCTCCGTGAAGCACGAAGCCAGGGCCCCTGCATTGAATCTCGTGCCCTGGCCTAGCTCAGCCCATCTGATCAAGCCTGCAGTGCGTCCTGGGGCCTGAGGTGATGGTGGGGTAGGAGTCCTGTCCTTCCGTATTCCCTGCAGTCCTTTAGCAGAGCCTAGCTCTGGGCACCTGGCCCAGAGTGGAGGGAAAGGGGAGACACGCACGACCTTCGCTTCCAAGTCCTTTTGTCTTAAGCCACTTCAGCAAAACCACCAGCAGCGGGGATAGCAGGTGAGCGGAGGTTGTCAGCCATGCTCGGGAGGAGGGGCACTCCTTGGGAGTCACACAGGCCTGGACTCGCTCTGGGTTCAGCTGCTCTGGAGCCGGCGAATGTACGTGCGCCTGCGTGTGGTTGTGGCTGTTAAAACCTCTCTGAGCCTCAGTGTTCACATCCATCAAGTGGGCCACTCACACCTGCTCTGCCCCTCCCCCAGGAATAACAAGGAATGTGAGGTCATTCAGTGGCACCAGGACCTCAGGGCAGGGACACGGTTCAGGCTGTCGTTCCACTGCCTGAGCAGCTCTCCCCAGAGCCTGGCTGCGTTTGCAGTTCTGGGCACGTGAGCTCCCAGTCCAGAAGGGCTCCAGTCCTACCGAAGGACAGACGTCCCCCACGCCTGTCCCCCATGCCCCACACACACCCTCTGGTTCTGGGAAGACCCCGCCATCTGCCCGCTCTTTTGGAGGGAACAGCTCAGTTCAAACAGTGCCCGAAGCTGTCCACACTGTTGGTCAACCACTGCCACCAAAACGTGGCCAGCCTGCCCAGAGACCCTAGACAGCCACCACTGAGCCGGTAAAGGGGGGAGCGCATGGAAAGAACAGGGTTCCGGGTCCCTAAGCACACGCAGGTATGCCCTCCTTTCTGCTTCCTGCCACTCCCCCCAAACCTCCACCCTGGGGGCTGGGCTGGCCCCCTGTGGCGGGGATTATCTCACCAGGTTGTGAACAGAACACTCAGAGAAAGAAGTGAAAGGAGCAGATAATGAAGAGGGTAGAAACTCGGCTCCCACGTGCCCCCAGACAAGGTGTCTGTGTGTGCCTTGTCCCTCGTGCTCCACGGCCCCCAGCAAAACCAGTTGCTGTCCCCAGGGGCTCATTTGCCCTCTGCAGCATTTCCAGCCTAGGGTTTCATCACTGCCACTCAGACACCTGAGGCACTGAGGCCCCCATGTCAAAGCCCAGCACACGGCCACATCCCCAGCCAGGCAGCCACAGGCACATCGTGCCCATATGTACCTCCAAAGACCTCAGGATGCCCTTCTCTTTTGACAGGATCCTATGGCCTGAGGCCAGTGTCCCTCTCATGGGGCACAATTCTGGGAAGACTGGGCTGATCTTGTCTTAGGAGTGCTTGTGCAGAACAGCAGGATGGAAGGGTGGGGACGACAGACCAGGGGATCCCAGGACACTTGGATCCTGGTTTTGCAAATGGCTCCAGGCTTCAGTTCCCTTTTGGAACAATCCGAATCACCAGGAGGAGGCAGGGGGTGACTGTGGGCATCCCCCTGCCCCCGCCACCCCACCCCTGCCTCTCCATGTTTCCGCAGCCACGGGTGCTGGGGAGTAACACCGCAGCTTGGTTGCCTTCCCTGCCCTAGAAACACAGGACGCAGGGGTCTGGCCACAGGTGTTCTTTGTAAGAGCTGCCTCAGTTTGCCCAGGGCGGTCTAGACAGATCTATGACAAAGACACACAGTACCCCATGAGCTGCCCAGTTCTCATCCTAGCTCCCCTTGGAACCCTGTTCTGCACGAGTTGCACCAGCCAATTATGGCAATAACGGGAAGTCCAGTCCACAGCACCCAAGCTGATAGGTGAGTAACCCAGGAAAACCGTGGCTTTCCCAAGACAGAGAGAGGACACAGGGCCCTGCCCCAGGCTAAACAGTGCTTTAAAGCTGCTGATCTCACTTCCTCAGAGCATTGTCATTACAGCCGTTCCCAGAGTGAGCCTGCCTGAGGCTCCAAACGCTGGGTGGTCTCCTGCACTCTGGACACTGCGTGCAAACAGCTCCCCAGGACTTTATGCCCATCATCTCTGCGGTTCTTCCACCAGCCGCTTCCAGGAAGAACCAGAGGAAAGACAGTGTCCCTGGGCTGTGACAGGCAGTGGGGAGATTACAGACTGGCAGCAAGGTCCACAGGGCCCCCGGTCACCAGTGCTTGGCTGTGGGGGAGTTCTGTTAAATATCACAGGGGCCAAAACACAACCCCAGGTGCATGAGGGAGGGACGGCCTGCCTTCCAAGCCTTCAAGGAGTGCCCTAGACTGTCCACAGGGGAGAGGGCATCCCCCAGAGAGGGAAGAGCCACATTTTCCCCCAAGAAAGCTGGAAACAGACAGCTTCGATCTACACCAGTGTCCAGGAATAGCCCTTCCCATCTGTAATAAATGGGTGACATGTTTCCAACACCCTTTGACCCAGCTGGGGAAGGTGTTTTCGTGCCCAGCTGTCAGGTAGGAAAACCAACGGCAGGGGGCCAGCCAAAAAGGGCTCTGGTCCAGAACCTATGCCATGCTTCTCCACGAGTGGTTCCTTTCCAGGAGCCTCTCCGCAGCCTGACCCTGCCTCTGCTGGCTGGGAGGGACACACCACCAACTTCTCAGGATGGGGCAGTGGTCCTTGTTCTGGAGACCCTCAGGGCATCCCAGCAGAGGAACTGGACACCAGATAGGTCCTCTTCTCTCTCTGGCATTGTACTGTCACCCCATGGGCAGCTAGTTCTGATCTGGTTTACTGGGAACCCCATCCCTTCCCACAGGTCCCCCTGGTGATTAACTGGTGATCCCCCCCGCAGCCCAAGCCGTGCTGCAGAATCACCAGGGTCCAGCTTCTGGGGCTCTGTGCGCAGGGGCTGTGTCCAAAGAGCCCCACTCATGCACCAGGAACAAGGTAACTCCCCTTTCACTCAGAATAAGGCTGGGCTGGGCAGGAACCGCCATCCTGCCCTGCAGTCCGAGGGGGGATTGAAGCCACTGGCCCCGTGGGTCCTCTCCCAGCTGTGGCCACAACAGCTGGCACCCGGACAGGAGGGAGAGGTGCACTTGCCCCAAGAGCCCCACGGAAACTGTCCCCTGTGGAAGCACGATGGGAAGGGAATTGAGTGACTTTGTCTCTCCTCTTCTAGCTGCTTTCTTTCTAACTTGAAAACATCTTGTAAAGGAGGAGAAAATGCTAGAGCTGTCCCCTCTGACTGACAGCCGCCTCCACCCCTCAGGAGGCACTCAAGGCCTCACACTACCAGGGATGGTGGCTGTGGGAGGAGAGGAGAGAGGAAGGGGCCTCATCCACACCCCTGTGCTGGGCCAGGGGAGTAGGAGACCTGTGTGTAGGTGAGAGACCTGGAGCAACTCTCTGCACCCTCTGTGCCTCAGTTTCCTCACCTGCTCCCTGGCGCTGGCTGGCTTTAGCTCTAAGGTAAAATATAGCTCTCTCCCTACCTCAGTTTCCCTTGAGAGAAAGGCATCTGCTTCAGACAGAAGGAGGACAAGGTGAATTTGGGAAGAGTTCATCTCCAAGAGCCACAGAACCAACAGTAGTCCATTTCTCCAGGGGACAGGTGTTGGGGAGAGAGCAAGGGTGAGATGCTATACCCCAGGGGTGGCGTTGGGAGAAGGCCATCCTACCAACATGGTTCCTTGGCCTCTTTTCCAGTGAGACGCAGGCCGTCAGAGGAGAAAGTCCATCTCCTCATCCCCTTCCCACAGCAGCCTGAGAACTTGAAGGTGGCTTTCAACAAGGCCAGTACAAGGACTGAAGCCTGGAACTGGGCTGCCCCCTCAGGGCTTCCTCTCCAGAAGCCAACTCTCCCTCTCTCCCAGAACCCACAAGGAGATAGAGGCCCACAGTCCCCTCTGCTCAGATGAGCGTTTTTCATGAGCGATTTTCTCCTGTCCCCAGACAACTCTTATCCTTGCAGTGTTCACACCCCTAACACCCGAGAGCCCCTGCAGAAGTTGTAACCTCCTCTATTCTCAGGGATGGGAAAAGAGGGCCCTGCAGTGGGGGTAGTCATCCACCCCAAATTGGACCAGGAGCCTGGAGAGCAAGATTGGCCCTTGCCCCTCCAGAGAGCATTAGATGGTCAAGGCAGTGCCTGGAAGGACAGCTCTGTAGGACCTGCTAAGTGACCTCAGTGAAGCCACAGCACCCCCCCCCCCGCCTCAGTTTCCCCAGGTCCTACACCCAAATCCAAAGTTTCTCTCTCAAGGCCAAGAGAGGGATGGATGCAAGAACCTTTCTCTGCGAGCATATGAGAAAATGTGGCATCCTCTAGTCCAGGGGGCCCAGGAGCCCAGCCCACCAGTACAGAATGAGACCCCTACCCGGCAGCCAGCAGCGGTGACGCTGTCGTAACTCATAACGGTGCAGTAGACTGCAGGGGGAAGCGCACCCCCTCCCCTCCCAGCCCAGCCCAGCCCAGTGAGTGGGCGGCACAGCCCTGGGGAATCCCTGGGTGGGGGTACTCTGCAGAGGCAACCCACCTGGCTGTCAAGCAGGCGGAGGTTGGGGTTAGGGGTGGGGGGGTGAGGGGAGCCTCCCGCCCACCCCCCCCACCCCAAACCCAGCGAAGACAGTCGACCAAGCTACGGCCTTCCCTGGTGGGCAGCTCATTCCACCCTTCCCTGGGTCCAGGCCGGCAGCCAGCCAGCGTGCCAAGGGACTGTGGCGCAGTCTCCCCCACCCCCACCCCGCCCAGTCGAGGTCCCGGAAAGCAAAGAGCAAGCAGTCCCTCCCCGCCCCCTCCCCCGTCCAGGACCCGGATTCCGCGCCCCTTCTCCCGGCCTGATCAGTCCTGGCTCACACCACCCGCGTGCTCACCACATCTGCGCTTGGGCGTCACGGCCCAGCCCCAGGCAGGGTGCCCCGGCCGCCGGGATACGGTGACAGGCAGCACGCTCCTTACCTGGGAGGAGACAGCCAGCCGGTCCTCCTCGCGGGCCTGGTGAAGCCAGCCCCACCTGGCAAGGGACTGTCAGCAAATTCCCCTCTGCATCATCGCGGGAGCGGCATCCCGGCTCCTCCCCGGCTGGAGCCAAGCTTGGCTCCGCCCCAAAGCTGCTCCGACCCACCGGGGAACCCAGGCTGGATTATCATATACAAAAGCCCGGGCTCCGCCTCAGAGACCCCGTCTCTACCAGGAACCATCTGCAAACTACCCTCGCAAACGCACAAGGCTGCCGGTCCCTGCGGCCATGGCTCCGGCTCCCTCTGATGCCGGGGGCCTCGGAAGCTGTCTTGCCGCTCTCCGCCCACCCTACAACCTCACCCCTACCCCAAGCTCTCCTCTGAGGCGTGTCTTCCTTCCGAACCTCCCCACCCGCGCCAGCCAAAGCAAGAAAAGATGCACAACGACACAAAGGTAGCAGGGTTCTGCCCCGCCCTGGGACCGGCTCCTGGTACCCAGCAGCTGGTACTCCCTCCTTCTTCCCCAGCAGAGAAAAGATCTACAGATTGGCCACAGCCCTGCCTGGGAGGCCCAAAGGAGTGGGCTGGGTCCTTTGCAGTTGGCCTGGGCCACTGTCCCCTTCTTGTCTCCAGTTTCATCAAAGTCCTGGCTATTGGGCTAGAGACGCTACTTTGGGCCCTGGAGGCAGGTACCCGTGTTTGAATCCCCAAAGAGCCGTATGCAGAGTAAGGGGTAGTAGGGAACTCACTCTCTCTTTCCCAGACAGGGGCCCGCCCAGGCACGTTTATTTTATAGACATTATCCCATACTATCAGTATAATGGCTAATGGGTGAGGAGAGCGGAAAAGGGACTGTCTACAGTTTTATAAGGGTAAGAATTGATCATTAGGAGTTATTAGCAATCAGATGAGAAGACTTTAGAGGAAGCAGCTGAATACAAGGTACAAGATGCTGCAGGGAGGGGAGCTGTGCCTTCCGGGGGTGTTTCTCAGCCAGATAAATGCAAGAGCAGCATTTAAGAACTCCAGCTGCCTGGATTCGAATCCCCGCTGGGCCATCTAAATATGGGGCTTAACCTCTCTGAGTCTCATTCTTTGCATATGTAAAATGAAGGAAATAACAACAACATTGGAAGGCGGTTATGAGGATGAAATGAGATATTGTGCACGAAGTAGATGCTCAGTGAATATTAGTGGTTGTTGCCATCGTTACTGTCCTGGGTACTGGCAGGAGAGAGAGAAGCCTGAACAGAAGTAGCTTGTTGTCTCTTTCCTCTGCTTCCTCATTACAGAGCTAGTGTCTGATCTCAGGGTGAAAGGACTAAGGGCCTTATGTAATGGGGCTTTAGAAAGGCCCAGTGTTAAGTGGAAAAAACATGGTCTTCAGATGCAGTTGAACCTTCGTTCAGATCCGGACTTTTGTCTCTTACCAGCTATGTCACCTTGTACAAGTTGCTTAACCACTCTGAAATTAACTTCCTCATCTGTAAGAGGCACCTTGACACAAATAAAAGGAGTCCGATTACAGTACCTACCTCACAGGGTGGGTAGGAATATAAAATTCATAGAAAGTACTTAACTCAGTTTTCCACATACAGAAGAAGCAGGTCACTGTTCATCTCTCCCTTCTTGGAAAGACCTAGATAAAGTGGAGGGAAGACCCAACAATGAAACTCCCAGGCGTCCTGGACTGAGTGTCCTGGGAGGAGACTGAATGGTGAGTATTCTAGCCCAGATCAAGAGCTGGTTTCAGCAGCTCTCCAAGCCCTCTGCCAAGGTCCCATCCGCATAGAACCTGCGCAGCCTGCTTCCCTAGTGAGCCTGACCCCTGGACATACCCTCTGGTGGGAGCCGAGGCCAGAATGGAAAGCTGGAAGCAGGTCTTCAAGGACCTCAAAGACAAGGCTCAGAAGTTTGAACTTTACTAGGTAGGCCATGGGAGCCATGGAAAGTGTTTGAGCAGCAGCAAGGGATAAGACTGACAAGCCCACACATAAGTCACTCCTGCTCCTGGAGGCAAGACCTAGGAGGCATCAAGGATGTGCACTAAAGGGAGACACAGAAGAGGAAGAACAAGAACCCATGAAAATGCCAGGTGGGCATTACAGTGATATAATCAAAGACATGACCCCTCTGTCCTAACCAGTGTCCTAACCAGCTGAATACCAGCCACCTAGATGAGGGTGAAGCTGGTAGAAGGTACTCAGTAAAGGTGTATGAAATGAATAGCTGAGGCTTTGTGGGCTTGGGGAGGCTTTTGAAGGAAAGTTGCTTCCAACTCGTGGGTGCTGAGAACATTTTTCATGCTCTTATGTGGACTGAGGTAGGAGTTCTGTGAAAGACAATGACTACTATGCTATCGTCTTTATGACTGTTTTGTTAACCGCCAGTGTCTTGTTTGAGAACATAATCCAGAACAACAGCAAAGAAACCAAAGGCTCCTGAGCCATCCAGACAGATGGAACTGTCACACTGTCAGAATTCGTGCTTTTTCTGCAGAAGAGCACCTTGTAGAGATCTTCAATGAGAGCCCACCTACATTTACTCTACATACAATTTCAACAGATCCAGGGTGGCAGAGACTGCCAAGGGTCCCCTGATATCTTTCCTTCCCACTTCCTTTTAGCAGCAGAGCTTCCAAGATTAAAATTGGATTCATGGCTACCTTGCCAGAGACTACATTTCCCAGCCTCCCTTGCAGCCAGCAGCAACTACAGGACTAAGTTCTAGCCAATGGGAAATGAGTGAAAGTGACATGTTTCACTTCTGGGCTACACTCTTAAAAGGAAGTTGCCTGCTCCCCACTTCCTCTTTCCCTTTGTGCAGACTGGACCATGGGCATGGGGATGGGTGGGGAGCAGCTTGATGAAGCTGGCAAGGACATACCCTCAGGTTGCCCACTCAACAAGACATTAAGAACCTGAGTTGCATGATGACCTGGAGAAGAGCCTTGGATGGCTGAACGCTTTGGTCTCTGTCACAACAGCTGAACCAGAAGCCTAACTGACAAACGTAGTCTCCTGATTGTCAAGCCCACAGCAGATGAGCAGGAGCACACCGGAAGAAGAAAGGACTCATAAATAAGCAAGCACAGTGAAACAAGCAAAAGTCAAGAGCAAGAGAAGATAGAACAACTATGAAACAAAGTCGGAAGTCTTCTAGTTCAGGGTCACTCCGAGAGGCCTGGGGACATCATGGCATTTCAGGGTAATGTTGGAAATATGCTGCATCATTAAGAGAAGGTTAATTCTGACTAAATGTTTTCATTTAAGATGAAAACAAGGTTAATTTAGAAAGTATTTCTGATCAAAAATGGTTAACATAAAATAAAACATATATGTTTAAAGGTAGAGACCTTCAGCATCCAGAAAACTCAGCCATCCAAGATGACACTTTTCTTCAAGAATCAGAAGGCAGAGATTTTGGTTCATTGATTATATTTCTTCTTCCCTACTAGATTATGGATCGGATCGTACCTCCTTTTTCTTTTGATTCCTATTATCTAGCACATTGCCCCTGACTCAATAAATACTTCTTAATGGCATTGTTGCAGGGCGGGGAGGGTAGATCCCAGAGCTTAGCAAGGTGATTTTGATTATTGATCAGTGAGATTGCCTGAAGTTCTCGACCATCCCAGTGAACAAGTGCAGGAGCATAGGCCTCAGAAGAGTGTTATGGGCCCACAGTGACCCTGGGACCTCCCCACTATTGTCTAGAAATCATCTCATCAGAAACATTCCCCTGAGCTCATAAAGACATACATACACAAGGATGTTCATTGCAGAACTGAATGTAACTGCAAAAAAACAAACACAACTGTACACAACCTAACAACTGTTCATGGCCTTTCTGTACTGCCCAGATGAGATGCTCAGGAAAACGCAATATGACAGGGGAAAGGTGGAAGACACAGGAAGAGTCAGCAAGATGGGCTAACTCCCCATTTTTCATTAGACTCCACTGGTTTTAGGCTTCAAGGCAGGAAGGGTACACCAGAGTCCCCAACACCCTAGACCTGGAGCTGGGTCAGCACTGCTGGGTGCTGGATAAAACTGCTAGGGAGTAAGCAGGGGAGGGTGGCTGTGGGTCCAGAGGTGATAGACATAAGACTCCACAGATTTTGCTATAGGACCCAGAATGTAAACTCATGCCACTAACAGGGACAGTATTTTTAAGGCAGAATCACGTCACTATTCATACCTTAAATGACAGTCCAGATACTGTAGGGTATCTGCTGCCCCCCAAGAGCCAAATCAAAGCTTTCCAAGAATGTGGGTCCATGTTTGGGGTTTGGGTTTCTATCACACACTCTAATCTGCTTTTCTGAACAGGAGGGAATTTGATTTCCTGTGCAGAAGGGAGGGGAGCAATGTATTGGGTTGGAAAATGATTTTTCCAGTGTCTTCCATCTAACCAGACATGAGATTGTAGATTTCAAGATAGAACAAGGCCTCAGGCTTAAGTCCAGAAATATAGCACTGACCCCTCATTGGAAGCTGGCATTCCCCAAGTTGGGGGGCCAGAGTGAAGCCAGGCCCCAATAACCACTTGGCCCTCCATGGCAGAGAATTTAGGCCTGCCCCCTTCCTCCTGGCCTCAGGCTAGGGCCCCACTCACCAGTGCTTCACCACTTAGATGTTCTTAGCTAGTAGTAGCCTCTTTTACTAGTGCTTCTCTCCCAGAAGATGGGAAGTTCATGACTGGTGAGAGGTCACTTTTATCCACCACCAACCAACAGTCACTGCCAATTATCAATATTAGAAACTTCTGGTGGGCCAGGTCAGAGGCAGATGCTGATGACATCACAAAGAAAGCACCTCTGCTGTGCTAGAACTCTGGGGTATTTGAAAGGGAGGGTTCTCCCATCCAGAATTGAGACAACTGTGAGCATGACCAGACAGATCTTAGTGTTCGAAGCTTGTGCATTTTTATCCCAATTCTGTCTTGAGTCTGGCTGATGCCCTGCAGGATTAGGTTGATAAGAATACTTGAGT